CGGCGCTACTCTGTCAACCGGTTTAGGGTTTAGGGTTTAGGGTTGGTTTACGAGATTAAAGATTTGAAGTTTAATGGCTCAAAGTTTAGAGTTTGGGGCTTAAGGGTTCAAGCGTTAATCAAAAAGTGATTCTGTGCAGCCAGTACAGGCCTTGCCCTAGCCGAGACTCACAGGGTCCATACGCACTGCTATGATGGAATTAGGCCCTGAAAGACCATCCTCACTGTGTTTTTGCGTAAAGCACGCCAGAAAAGAAAAGAACCGAGCCCCCGGATATCCCCATGGAGGACGAAGACTGCCCGGTGGTCTGCACTGCTGAGCAGAAGAAATGCTTTTCGGCTCCGAGCTGGGGGTGGTGTTGATTGTGTGTGTGTGTGTGTAAGTAGGGTTACCCAAAGGCCCCAAAGTAGTTCCTCTTTGGGGTTCATATATAGAATCCTATAAGGTAATCCCACAAAGGAACTACTTTGGCGCCTATGGATGGGGTTAAATGTGCCTTGAAAAGGTTCATAAGTAGATATGACTAGGGTGTTATAGGTGCTTTAAGGATCTTAGATGTACCTTGAAAAGGTTCACAAGTAGATATGTCCGAGCCCCGAGAGTAGAAGCCAGACGGTTGGAAGTATCCTCACGCGTGTAAGGCATAGCGCCGGGAATCCCAGCACTAACCATCCTAAATCCATGTTTCAGTTCTCTCGAGTTTACCATCAACTAAGCCAAAGCCCTTAGCTCTAAACCTAGACCACATGAACCCTCAACCCTAAAGAAAATCCGACATGTTTCAGCCCTGGGGCTCTTTCCGCAGAGTTAGGTGTCTTAACTAATGTAGGAACCTCCCGTTCCCACAATGAGGCGCCATGTTTCTAGGGTTCCAGCCTAAACGACCAGGTACAGGGCCCTATCTGTTCTCTTAATAGAGGGACAAAACAAGAGACCCGAGCTTTGAACCCTAAAACCAAAACTTGGGGTACTTGACATCGTGAGGGGATATCCCCAAACCCAAAGCCTCAAACCCTGACATGAGTGGCTTCGGAATAACTAGCAGCAGTACTCCGTAATAGTCCGTGTAATAACGTATAATATGTCCTCAAACCTTGTCGTGATTTGTTGTAGCTATCAGGGCCGCTGTGTCATGGACATCTTTTGGCTCTACAGCTCTTATGGACCCCTTTTTTGCGGAGCCCTTCAAGGAACCCTGTGCTCACTAAACCTGAAGCCCTAAACCAAGCCCTGTTCTACTTGTTACGGCGCGGCACTATCCCGAAATTGACAGATCGGTGAGATCAAGGCGCAAGCTCTGCGAGACTTCGTCAGAGTCACTTAAATTACTATTGTGCGTATTCATATTCTTACTCTGATAACTGTCACTTATTTTTGATCATTACTAGTATTGTTACTATTGTTACGCCCGTTTAAATCGTTCTGTTTTTATGGTTCATCGCATATTTATGACTACGACGATCATACGAGTTAGCAAATCGCAGCTGCAAACTCTAAACTCTCAGCCTGCATTCCGGCCAACTCTCCCGTGACGCGAGGTTACATCACCGACTACACCAGCAGCGAGACCTTCATCAGCCCTTTGTCTGGGCATTCCCTCAAGGGTCCAAAGTACTACTAGGACCCAGAGTAGGCCCTTATTCCCTTTTTTAGGGGTTAGGTTCCCTTATAATCCCATTTAAACCAAAAAGGGCACCCTTTTTATTCCTAGGTTACTCTTAGGTCTAGACGTCTAGACTATTTTCGGAATCACTACTATGATCGGGGAAACTATCCCTTGTGGCAGTACTTAGGAACCTCTAAACCCGAGCAAAGAGCAATAACAAGCTCTTGAGGGTTCTTTGACGTCAAAGAACTGTTGCTGACGGCTGCGGGACTTGGCCACGTATATAGGAACTACTCTCAACTACCACAACCAATAGCTGTTTGTAGGTATTGATTCTAAACCCTGTCATAGATGCTGTATACGGGCCCCGCAACAAGTAAGATAATGGTGGGCCGAGGTGCTCCTTCCGAAACATTCTTTTCCCGGAATCTTTCAGATAAGTATGATATGAAGTGACCAACATCCCTGCTTCAGATACTTCCCGAGGTTTTAGGGTTTACTCCAGAAAGTTGGAATATGGATTAATGGTAGGATCCCCTTTAACTTACCTTAAAGGGGTTACGATAATGATATTCCAACTTTCTGGCTTCTACTGTAGGGTTTTGGGCATAGATTCTATGCCGCACCCTGAAACCCATCAGTCGACTGCCCTGCAAATCCGAACTATTTTTGGCCCCCAAAACCTGCAAAAACAGATCCTAAACCCTAAACCCCTAAACCGTAAACCCTAGACCCTATATACCCTAAACCCTAAACTGTTTTGGAGACTCATAAAAACGGGGTTCCAAGAAGAATCCTACACCGTGAATCTTAAGCAAGAAAGCAGCGAGAAGAGGGTTTCGGGATGCTGGCTTGAGAGGGCTCAGGATTTAGGGAGGGCTTAGGGTTTAGGGAGGGATTAGGGTTTAGGGAGGGGCTTAGGGTTTAGGGTGTAGGGCTTAATTAGGCGGTTGTGATGGGTCATCACCATTGCATTAAGTACTGCCTGCCGTTCCGCTTTTGAAGCCACAAGCTCCAGAGCTTTCGACAGGTGACCGCGAGGTGTGCGTGGCGTCCAACGCCACCTGCCCGTGCCAGGGCTGGAAATTTCAGGGCAGGGCTTTAGAATTTTTGGATTGAGGTTTTGTTGGAAGGTTGCGTGCTTTGCCGGGTTGGGTTTTCTGGCGTGCAGCGGCTTGTTGAGGCATGAAACGGCTTGAAAGCCTTGGAGGGCTCGGGAAAGAGTTGGTGTTGGCACCTTCAATGGTTTGTAAGGGTTTAGGGTATAGGGCTCACGAGTGCGGCTGTGGCGTCCACGGCTAAGAGCATGGGGTTCTATTCCGTGACCTGCTGCTTCCATTGCTCGGAAGTTCCTCTCCAGTTAACCACGGAGGCTAAGAGCAGGAAGCCTCTACCCATAGGCTCCATAGTAGTTCCTTCTTGGGATTACCTTATAGGATTCTATATCTGAACCACAAAAAGGAACTACTATGGAGCCCTAGGGTAAGCAGATCTAGCTGATGAAGCTCGACTCCTGGCATGTTGCCACGAAGCTCCTAAGTTCTGGCCGACCTATAGTCTCCATTGTAGTTCCTTTTTGGGGTTACCTTACGGGAGCCTAATTATATATTTGGTTTTTCCAACAAAAGGAACTACAATGGAGACTATAGGGAGAAGCTGAAACCTGAACCCCACTTGTTTGGTTTCGAGGTGAATGTTTTGCGCGGGGGAGAGACTTCGGGCTCCAGAGACAGGCAACCAACCTAAACCATGAGTCTAGGAAATTCTCATTGCCGTCGTCCTTGTGGGTGTTCCGTCAAGAGTGTGCGAATGATCGCGATGTTCATGAAGCGAGTTGCTGTTATTGCTGCTTATTCACATCACCCCGATCCCAAGCACTGAGCCCGAAAGCCGAGTCCACAACCCAAGAAACCTGGACTCTGAAGCTCTTACCCACCTTGAGCCTCTTGCAAACCTAAAACTCCAGACACCGTGAACACCCTGAGTAAGCCCCCCCCTGAACACCCGAATGGCCGAAAACCGTTGATCGGCCCCCCAAACCCAAACTCCAATGGAAGGTGCGGGAAGAACACACAGCGTTGCCCGGGCTCAGATGCCTGCCTTCTGGCGCAACCGGGCCAAGAATAAGCGGGCTGCCAGGTGATATAGAGTTTAGGGTTTGCAAGGAGTTCAGGGTTTAAGTGTGAGTTTCGGGTCTGGGGAACTTAGTGGGTAATTATTCTTAGGTTTGAGCCAGCAGAAACCATCCTTTCAGAGTCGCTAAATAGCTTAACTATACGATAAATACACCCCACAGAACTGGCCCAAAACCTGAATTTCAATACTAAAGCCCCCCCTCTAAGAGATTTTCGTTTCTTGGGTTTAGGTCTCAGGGTTCCCTGTCGTGCTAGGTTTAGGATCTGGGTTAGGTATTGCGGGTTTAGGTCGTACGGTGTACTGCCTTGCTGTTACCGCGAGAGATTCGACCCGTCCTTATGTCAACTTGAATGGCGACACTAGTTGCAAACATGGTTAGTTTGCAGGGAGCAGGTTTGGGATTTCATGTTTGAAGAATGCGCATGCCCCCTGATATGAAGATCTTTTCACACAACAGCCTGTCGAGCCAAATCGCATGACATCAGCGGTTGCAAAGACTGACGAGGGTGCTTCTCGCAGATTGCTGAAGCAGAGGACGAGAGAGAAAAGCGCGAAAGAGAGAGAGAGAGAGAGAGAGAGAGAGAGAGATATATATATATATAGTCATACAAAGCGAGCGAGCTCTGAAGAGAGAGAGAGAGAGAGAAAATAAACATAGAGAGAGAGGGATAGAGAAGACACATGTGGAACAAACAGGACATAGGCGGAAACAGATTTACTGTCAGCCTGCCCGATTTTCGTCCATCCAGAGAGATTCGAAGAGGAGCTCTCTTGTTACGACCCGAGCTCTTGGAACTTTACTCTCAGTATTCCGGCTGCTCTTGAAACCCATACCTAGAGACTCCAATATCCCTTAATTAAGGAATACACCTTAAATCATACAAGGGATCCTGCTATACTTTAAAGTATATTCCTTGATTAAGGAATATAACTTAAATCACATAAGGGTGGTTCCTACTATATTGAATGAAGGGATATATTGGAGTCTCTGGGAAAAGCCCTGAAGCCTGCTCCCAAAGAAAAGGGGCTCTGAAAGGGCAAAAAAAGGGTAGCATCCATATTTACCAAACACTAGGATGCCCAGTAGTACCCTTATTCCCTGTTTGTAGTCCTAGGTTCCTTACATAAAGTTACCCAATACCAGTAAGGGAGCCGTTTTGATTCCTAGGATGCTCACGAAGAACAACCTCTGCGATCACCTGTTCGAAACCATGAATGTAAGGCAAGGACCCGAAAAGCCGGTACTGTGGCGTCCGAGGTCCAAGGCCAACATTGTTTGCCCTTGCGCCGAGTCCCAGAAGCAATGCGATGTGCTGGACTACACCACCACAGGCCGAGCCAAGTCGGGTTGTGGGCGTGGGGCTGGTCTTCAACAAGATGTCCTAGGCGTCCAATGCAACATATGACCTACTGTACAGTTTATATACTTTGGACCTCAAAGTATGTACTATTTGTATACTTGGGTTCTTAGGGTACTACAGTGGATCCGAAAAAGGAGCCTGCAGACCCTTCCATCTCTGACGACCAATCAGGCTCAAGCCTGTACAGCAGCACTAGAAGCGTACGCATAACATAGAAGGCTAATATAAACACCAACAACATTCCCAAGGGTTCCTCGGTATAACCATACGATTAGATAAGGAACCAAAAACCTAATTCTTCTAATAGTTAAGGCCCCTACGTTACACCTGTTGCGCACGCACCCATACCCACATGTGCAGTGACTGCATAACGGGGGGTCTGCCGAGCCACACAGCCGGAATGGGAAATATAGGGGTTGGATGTTAAAGTGGTGCTCGCATGGGGTGTAAATGTACCAATGGCGTGCTAAAACGTGACTGCTGGGTAGTCAAAACAATCGTGAAGAAATATTGTGTCACGTTTTCAAGCGCATTCGACAAATGCCCGATTCAGGTTTAGTTTACGTTTGTTGTCACGGCTTATCTAAACTACTAGTAACATGTCCACCGGCGCCCATCGACCGCCACTTATTGCTCAGGGCTCCTTAATGTGACCCCTAAACCATATAGGCCCTAAAACCCTAAACTCCAAACAACATGCCCAAGAACCTTCTCTAGTCGCGCAGGCCCTTCTAGGACTCACGTTCCGGTCAACCCTTGTCCCCAAGTTGCTGGCACGAGGCCAAAAGTCGAATGTGACCACTCAGTGCGTGAATCAGGGTGTCTTGGATTAACGTTACTCTCCTCTCAGGGTTTATAAAGGTTGGGCTTACTACAGGGGCAAGAATCACGAGTATAACGCTGCACAAGGATGCCTTAACATAATCTCGTATCTGCACGTGCCCCCAAGCTGAATTCTAGTTCCTGTAAGGCCCTTTTGCTGAAGGTTTAGCTCAGCGATCCGGATCCCGAAAGCCCCGGACAGCTTTGGGATGATCCCTTCCGTCGGCCATTAGGCACTTGTCCCCAGGTCTTCAGATGTCCAAATAAAGGGATACTGGGCTATATATGTTATATGAGTAGTAATGTACTACTTACCCTAATGCTCCTGGACCCTCGTAGTGAGATCCCAAACCTTAGCCCCCAAAGCCCAAACCCTCGCCCACAAAGCCCAAGACCGTCTTTGGAGCCTTAGGGTAAGTTAGGATTAGGGGGACCCTTGGGGATATAGACCCTCTCAATAAGGCCCCTTTTAAGAGAGCCAGAAGTAGGGTTCAGAAGGGGTACCCTTTAAGGGGTCCCCCGAATAATACTACCCACTACTTAAGAGTATCAAGAGTATCAGGAGCCCTAGGGTGTGTTGTAGTTTAGAGGTTTGAGCTTCGGGCTTATTGTCGTGGCATCGTGGACAGGGAGAGCCTTACAGAGAAATCAAAGGAACCTTACCTAGAGGGTCATACCCTACCCTTTTTTTCGGATACCTAGTTTTATGGTCAGGATCCCCCATATAGAAAAGTAGGTACCTTAAAAAAGGGGTAGGGTATGAGTCTATAGGTATTCTAAGTTTTAAAGAGACACCGTTGATGAAGTCCAGACCTCTGTGTGAACAGGTCGGACAGCTCCTGGAAGCAGAACTCCAGAAATCTCTAGCAACGCAAGCAGCCTGAACATAGCATAGACTTAGATCATTCAGTAGGGCTCCCAGTTGTAACTTCAGGACAATACATGCTACCAGCTGTAACTTCAGGACAATACATGCTATGCCACCAATGCCCCAGTCTAACTACCGTACTAAGGCCCCGATATCATAAAGCCCTTATGGTAACCCTGAAATGCCCCTTAAAGGAGCCCTCAAAGGTCCCCTACGGTGCACAGCCTATGAAGCGCTCTTGGCCCTTAGAGTTACCTTTGGTTAGTAGGGAATGGAAGAATGGTAGTAATTGTAGTCATAATTGTACCCCATTCCTCCATTCCCTACTAACCAAAGGTAAGTAGAACAGTTCAGCCAAGGTGTGAAGTGCCCCTGCGGCAAGAATACGTGCCTTGGACGTTCTTTCAAAGTGTCTTCAACGGGTTTTGGGTTGGGGGTTGCCCCAAGGGTCCAAAGGACCCAGTAATCAGGTACTCGGTTTTGGGATAGTAGTTATGTAGGTTAGGATTTTGGAGAGTATATGATTATTGGGTACTTGGACCCTTGGGGTTTAGGTCTTAGGGTTCTGGAGGGCCGTTAGCACAGGGTTGTAGGGTTCGGGGCTTGATGCAACCCTTTCAGGAGCATTGAGAATGCTGGGTTTCGGAGTAGCGTTTGGGAGGATAAGCCTTTTGGCTGTTGGCTGCATCTCCACAGGCTTCAGCGAAGAGCTCAGCATATTCAGGATAGAGACAAGTATAGCAGTCGTGGTAACAAGACAGTCGCGGTTGTTTCTGGATTGTGGTTGTTTGCATAACGAGCTGGAGTGTGCATCCTATTTGGGGCCTGCTGCAAAGTATTCAGAACAGGTACGAGTGCAAGTGTGTGGTCAAAGGAATCAGATTTCGAGGGTCGGCTCGCCTCCCTTCCCCTCGCTTTCCCGTCGGCACAGACACGCCGTGGCATCAAGTCTTCGGGTTTAGGGTGGTCAGAAGCACATCTTGCTTTGCGGCAGAGCACATAAATTGCTTTCAGAATTTCTGGATGAAGAGCTTCTAATTGACCCTGGACCCGAAGCACTTTCTCTAACGCTGTCTGGACAGCTTTGAGACCATTTTTCCCGCAGGCTGACTTGTGCGGATCCGAACGATGCTCGGCCTTGCATAAGGCATATACGCTAATCACAAGCCACTGTGAACTCGGGACCTGCGCTACTAATTGGTTCTGCTGCAATGTTGTACCCGGAACCCTTCTCTAGTTGTGAATAAGGCCCCAGTATCGGTGTTGCTTGCTTTTTTGTTTTCGGTGCTTCGGGCTTCATATTCTCTCCCCGGATCCTTTGTGTTCTAGGCCACAGCCTGAACGACATATTGGCACTAGGCAACAGCGAGATCGGAATACTTGGTAATGAAATCCTTCGTTGTACAGGGTATCATGTCTAATGAATTACCCGACATTCCGATAATACAGGGGCTGCAAGGGGATACTGTTGCCGATTCTTCATTACCCTCTAGTATATGCTCCAAAGCCCCCTCTGGCGCCCGAAAATTCAACAAACCCAAGTCGGCAACCTATTAATCCCGACTCCCGTTGTAACCCCCAGCAGGCCCCCAGCGCAAGTCGAGCCTTAAAGGCCTGAAAGTCCCATTGCACCAGCAAAGCTTTCAACCCTAACGCCATAAATCCCACACCCTAAACTTGGACCATGACCCCAAAACCCAAAACCCATAACCCAGTCCCTAAACCCAAGTCCAAAATCTCCCCCGCCCCGAATAACGCGTTGCGCTCTCATAGATCCTAGACGTATAAGCCCAGCACATAGATCCTCAAACCTGAACCCGAAACACGCAGCAACCCTAGATCCTCGACTTGCAGCCCTAAATCCTGGACCCTCAACTGGGCTTTGGAGTACCATACTTTAATACTATTTTTCTTAAAGGAAACCTTATGAAATAAAATTTTATACTTTTTTCTCCCTGGTTACTTAAAAGCCCAGTCAACCCTAGTGTCCAAACCCAAAACAAAGACCCCAGGATCAGAATTTGAGTGCAGGGCCAGGGCCCAAACCTTCCAACATCACGTAGTTCGGGAATATACTTTAGACTGAAGTAGGATCCCGAGTATGATCTGAGGTAGATTCCTTAAGCAAGGGATTGGAAACCTTGTGTTTTTCGGGCTCGCCTAACCGATACTCAAAGGAGAGGGCTCCTTCAAGGGATACGCTAAGGGTACTAGAAGGGTCTATGATCTTTAGTTCTATCCTTTAGGCGTATCGTTTAGGGTTTAAGTGTCGATAACAAACCCTTGATTAATATACCACCTTCTCTTGATTAAAAAAGGGTCAAACATGAGCTCCCTGATATTACAAGCCATCTCAAGCATTGGGGTCCAGTAGTCAGGGGTCTCCATTTACGTCGCAGGATGAGGGTTTAGGCTTCAACGCTTAAAACAACACAAAAATGTACCGTAGGGGCCTTAACAATTAGGGTTTTGGGGCCTATTATACTATAGTTGTGTTCAGGAGCCCCCAAGGAATATACGTATTTACAAAGGCCCCGAAAGTACAATCACAGCCGACCGTGGGCTGAAAGGACGCAGAAGATGATATCTGCGAGCCAAAGTACAGTGGCACCTTGGCGATGCCTTTAACGGCTTCAGGGTTCAGTTCAGCGGGCTTCGTTTTTTTGAGGGTGGGGGGGGGTCTGAAGAATTCCATACTTTCCTTTACTGTGATTGTACTATAGTTTGTGATGAGCCACCCCCAGCCCTACTCTTATCGTCAAGGCCCCTATATTGCAGTAAGAGGTGTTGAGAGTGCATCAGTACTGAGTATTGCATCTCTGATGGTCTGGAGGGAGCGGTGTCGGGGATTCAGAGATGCTGCTAGCCTTTTGACGTAACCTCTTTTATGCTTGTGTTATGCTGTGGCTCCATCGGAGGGTTCGTTCTCCTTTGGGAGTGCTACAGCATCCAGCCTTCAACTCACTGCAGCTTTGGGAACCCTTGAAAATTCGAAGCCCTAAACCCTAAGTCAACAGCGTAAGCTCCATCCACACCCTAATGTGGGAAGTTTCTGAGATAAGAAGACCCACGACCGGAATCTTAGAGATCGCAGTCTGACACGCATGAACTGAGACCACCGGAGTGTTGCTAAACCCTAGACGCATTACGAGTCCCCTCCAACAGCTTGGAAAAAGCTGTTCAGATGGTAGAACTCTACATACAACCACATAGAACCCCAAACCCTCAACGCTAGAGTTCCTAAACCCTACCCCCCAAACACCAAACCCAAAGATCTTTGGCCGAGGTACGCTGCTGAACAGCTGCCCACGGCCCTGCACTCCTGAGCAGGAGGCCGCAGGCAACAAGACCTGCACCCAGTGCCTTGGCCGGTATCCTATCACTTAGGGGCACTTAGATTTGTTTTTAATTTTTGGTTATGATAATCCCTAAGAAACAGCTAAAATTATTATCCTATCACTTAGGGGCGTAGAGCTTAAGATAGTGACCATAAACGATAACTGCACTACGCCCCAAACGAGAGGGTACCTCTAAGGTGTTATAGGGCTTTCATGTTCTGTAGGGTCTAACATCTAAAAACTATGCCCTACACCGCTCTGCAATAGACTCATGCCCTGGACCGTCCTGACGCAACTCTAAACCTACACCCTCACCCACTAAACCCTTTGCAAAACCTTTGAGTTCCGAACTGCAGACCTCCAGTTAAAGACGACGCCGCGATCCTAGGGTTTTGGGTGTAGGGTTTCATTCAACCAGCCGTAGTCAGAATCATCGCTGATCGTGATCATAGCAGCAAGAACTATCATCATACTTGTCGGAACAAGAACAACGATCGAGCTGGTTCGAAGCTCTCGGTTCTCGAGTATATATAACATGCAATGCCAGCGTTTTATGAGGGCTCGATTTGTCCAAATCTTTCTAGAGCTGAAAAATTGAAAAGTGTACCCTTCATTTTTGTGGGAGTACCGTGAGACCTAGAGTCCAAAAACTAAGCGAGGAGGATGCGGTTTCGGAGCATTCTGAACCGACCATACGAAGTTGACATTTGCAGAGACGCCCTTGCAGCAAGTTTATCGGCAGCGTGTCCACCCAGACCCTTCGAAAAACTAACGCCTATACCCCCAAACCCTGAAAGGGTTTAGGGTTTAGGGTTATACAGACCTTAAATAGGGCTGCTACTCCCCCGCGCCTGCACGCTTCTCAGGACGAACCTCCGGGACAATGGAGACTTCATATCTGAAACCATCAGCCGCATGGCAAAGCCCTACTGGGAAGCCCAGTAGTAGCCTTATTGCCTTTTTGTAGTCCCATGTTCCTTACACAGGTACCCCATACCAAAAAGGGAGCTCTTTTTATGCCTAGGTTTACTGGGCATCCTAGTTAAACTTGGGCCCCAAACCCTGAGCCACCAAGAACCCCAAGCCCAATGCTTCTAACGGTAAGACTCCAGGGGCTGAGCGCGGCTTGGGGTCAGGTGGTGAGGTGAGGCCAGCTTTGATGCAGAGGTTGAAGACAATTCAGGTGTGCCTCCTTTATTTCGGGTGGAGGGGGTGGCCTTCTAGCTTTTGAACAGCTTTTTCGGCAGTCTGCCCTAAACCCCTAAACTTCTGCCTCGCTCCAGTTGTAACGCTTGTCATGCCGACCGGCACGTTCGGTTCCGGCCGTCGTCATTTGTCATCTTCGGGTTGACCGTTTCGGGTTCAGGGTGTTTCCCAGAGGCTCCAAGTACGCAAGTAGCAGGGCTTTGGATGCCAGATTCTAGACTCTGAAGTCTCTGAACGGACCCTCTGGGTTTGGGTATTCGTGTTCGGGGTTTTGCCTTCAGAGTATTTCAGAGTCTTGGGGTTTGGGTTTCCAGGGTTCGAAGATTCAGTTCAGGGGTTTACCTGCAGCCGAAAGACCCTTCCTTTTGTAGGGTTCCTTGTTGCGGCTTCTATAAATAACTCCTTAAACAGATCAGTTGAACCCTAAACCCTAAATCCTAAAGCGGCTTCTATAAATAACTCCTTAAAGAATCAGCGGAACCCTAAATCCTAAAACCTAAACTTTAGGGTTTAGGCATGTTCTGAAGACGACCAGAAGATAGCAGGCGAGCAGTTCTCGAGGAGAGGGCCCTTCAGGAAGCTTCTTTGGGTTTGGGGTTTGGAGTTTCATATTTCTGGGTTCATTCAAAGGGGAAAAGGAGGGACCCTTAGTGGGGACCCCTGCCCTATAATGGGCTATATAATGGGTATAGAATGGCTATATTATGGGTATATACCTAGGGGTTTCGTACGGTTGATGATATAAATCCTGCACGACCCATAATAAGGAAGATGCCATTATTCCCATAGTTTAGGGTCCTTAAGGTAATGCAGGATTTATATCATCAACAGTACTGCTGGGTTCAAATATTTAGTGGTTCGGATCCCTGGTTCCGAGTTTAGGATTTCATACTCCCTAAGACTCCATGTACCCATATAGTAGGTACTTAGGACTTAAAGGGTTCCCCTATACGGGTACTTCAAGGCCTCAGTACCTACTATATGGGTACATGGAGCCTTTGGGACTGTGAGGGGCCCTCGCAGTATGATGCAGTTGAGAATCGCGCGGACGCGATTTGAGTGACCCGTGCACCCTTCATTATACTAGAGTCGCAAACCGTGAGGCGAGAGTGGGCAGTAGCCGAAGTTAGATCGTTCTTTTCGCTTTCAGGTGGGGGTGTGGGAGTGGGTGTAGATAATGCAGCGACGATCCCAGCTGACTTTTGCCTAGTGCTGGAAACTTGGCCCCAGCTTTAAGATGTTTTGTCCTTGTTCCAAAGGCCAAAGCGTGCTACCCGAGCACGAAAGCGCAGAACCCCCGAAACCCACAAGCCTAAACCCTGTTAACCCCTATAGAGCCCTAAGCCTTAAACCCTATAAACCCTGATCAAAATCCTGCAGTGGCTGAGGTTGCGTACGACCAGCCAACTGCTTACCCGGCCAGAACATGCAGAAGTGCGACTTTCCGACGATTTCGGGGTTTAGGGTTTAGGCTTTTCAAGAATTCGGGGCAGACGTGTGGTTTCGGACTTCTGGTGTATTGGAGGGCTTGGGATTCAGGGTGTGGGTACCCTTGACTTTTGTTGTTTTCGGGCTTTTGGAGATTGGGGGGTTTGGGATTGGAGGGCCCTACAGGGTTTACCTGAACCCGGAATAACCTACCTTTTTGGGGACTAAAATAAGGAGATCATAATGAGGAACCTTAAAAAGTTAGGTTATTCAGGGTTGAGGTAGGGCCAAGGCCAAGTACTACATTTTTTTTTTTTGGTTTGGCCGGCCTCTGCTTGCTTCGAGCTACCGGCGTGGCTGTGCAACAGCACCGGGTGCTTACCAGGTTGTTCCGAGAGCACAGGGTTCGTAGGCCTGCATGGAGTCCAAGTCTAAAGAGTCTTCAAAACTGTGAACACGATTTCGAGTATCTTTCGTTTGGATTAGAGTCGCAGGTTTGGGTGTCTAAGCCAGGACCAAAGCCTTGAAACTCTGGACCTCCAAACTTGCATCCCACTCATAAACCCTGAAACCCCAGCCCAAAATCCTAAAGCAACCGAACCTGCAGCCTGAACCGTCTTGAGTGCCCATACCTGGATATCTGCAAAAGCCATAGCAAGTCAACAAATCTAAGCCCTACGTTGACTACTTTGCAGAAACCATAACAAGTCAACAAATCTAAACGCTACTTCGACTACTTTGTATTGTACACTCTATAGTACTCTTTAGAACCCCGGAAGGAATCCGGACGGAGCCGTTGCAGTACCCTTTGACCCTAGACCTCTCACGGGGTCTGACAGAGAACGTGCGCCAGCCGCGAACAGCGACTCCACTTGACCCTAAAAACGCCACAACCCTAAAGCTTAAGCCCTAAACCCCCAAACCCTAAACCTGAAACCCTAAACCCCTAACCCCTTGTGAAATTTCCCTGTCTTGAAGCGCCGTGTTGACATGTCCTCATGCGAGCGTAGTTTTTGTGTTAGTTCTGAACGCACCCTGTACGACAGACGTCTTGGGCTCAGACCAAAAAGTGTGCTCGTTTGTGTGGTTGGACACTCACTAATCCAGTTCCTGCTTCAAACTGGTAGCGGAGCTGTGAGGACAACCACTAGTGTTTCACCCCCGTTGAGCCTGTGGTCCGGGGTCCGTTGGGTAGTGTAGCGGTAGTCGCGGCGCAAAGGCCCCTTCTATCCTCGAAGCCATGAGCGTGGCAGGTTTGCGTTACCAGCCCAATCTCTGGTCACAGAACCTGAGCCCTGCAGAAACCAAAAGCGGGTCGTACATATACGACGGTACGGCTGCTGGCTTCCATGATTGGTGCTTCCGGACACAGATCCGTGTGCTGCAGCATAAGGAGAAGCAGCGGCGCGAAGCTCTTAAGGACCTGCGTTTTGCCGAGTCGGCAAGGGCCAAGAGCGAGTCACCAAGGAAGTGGCGTGGCAGGGCAAGTCAGGGGACCAGCGCATCGCCCACAGATGGTGATGGAAGCAGCGGTATACCCGCCAGTCCGTCCAGCGCAAAACGGACTAAGCCCGCGTCCGAGGCAGAAGATGAGGATGCGGAGTCGCTACCGTCGCACCCCAGCCAAGTGGCGGGCGACGATGAACAAGAGCCGGACACAGATCCGGCGGTGTACACCTTGCAAGACGTCAAGGACGAGTCGCTCGACATGAGCGAATGCGTTAGCAAGATCCTAGAGGGTCTCCGAGGAGATGCCTTTTGCATCGCTCGCGACGTCGGCCTGGAACGTCTGCTTCGCCATGACGGCGTCGACTACCTGATAGAAGAAATCAGGAGGCAAGCCTTCCCTCTTCAATCCGAAGAGGCGTCCGAACTTTTCCGTCAGGGACAGCTCCTGACGGGTCCACTTGCAAAGCAACCCGGCGAGCCTATGTTGTCTTACATAGCCCGCCGAAAGCGGTGGTGGTCGACCTTGCGTGAGCTGGATCCTGATATCCGCCTTTCTGAAGCAATGAGGGCTAATCTCCTTGTTGAGCTTTCAGGGTTGGAAAGGTCCGAGCAGCTAATGGTCAAGACCGCCGCCCGCGTACACAGCGTGGATGAGTACGCACGCGTCCTTGTTCAGCATCACTCAGTGGTGCACATGAAGGAACGTCTTCTTACCCAGAAGGACCCTACCTGGAGCGCCAAAGTTACAAAAATAACCAGCAACTTTAAAAAAACCAGCGCCTTTAGGCCAGTGGCGGAAAATATTGAAACCGCAGCGAATAACTGCCACTTTAAGGGAATACACAGAATTCAGCAAAACAAAGCCAGTTATTGCACGGGTTCATACATGAGCTGCACTTGTGCAGGAGTGGGAAACTATATAATGCTTATGGTGTTCCCTTAAAGTTTATATATGGGAGTATATATTCATTCGGATATGTATTGCTCGCTTTATGGGTTCTCCGTGTTTCGAAGTTTAATTCCGAGGAATCCAAACATTCGTTTGCTCCGGATAAATTAAGCTTGCTTCGGTCTTAAAGGGTACAACTTCGGAAGATTTCGGATTCGGAAGACTTCGGATTCTTACTGCGATTCGGGTTCATGATTATATAGGTACGGCCCGAACCCAAAGACGAACCTCAGTTTATAGGCCGTGAATAATCATGCAGATCCTTTTCAACTTGCAAATCCTCGGTAGCGACCCGAAGCCCAAAGGCCCGAATTCCTTAAGAACGGTCCCCAAAACCCTGCCTCGCAAGCCTTGGATTCCTGTAGCAAGCAAAGCCAGACCTTTAGATCAGGATTCGTTCTGGCCCTTTCGGAGTTCCACAAGCTTAGGCAATCCGAAATAAGAAAGCTCTCTCATTATGAATAAATTCGCCCGCTTTTGACTAATGGTTCCCGAGACCATACTAAATACTAAACCCCTATACCCTAAACCCGAAGCCCTAAACTTTAAGATATTCTAAGCCTTTCCAGGCCAGCATTTCTCCGCAACGGCCGAGCCAAGCTGCAGCCACTCCGGGCAAGAGCAAGCACACATCAAGAAACCGCAATTAGTGTGCTCTGTAATATCGCTGGTGTAGAATCATGTTGAAGACTTACCTTAGTCTCGATAGAGCTTATATATTATATAGATCAATCCAGTTTTCGGGTTTAGTCTTTTGGGGTTATAGGTTCGGGCACAAGTGATCGTAGTCGTCAGGCAGCTCGATGGGTCGAGACTTCCATAGCAAACCTATAGTCAGTCCTCATAATTGGTTTTCCGGTTGCTACTATTGATCCTTATATGGCTGTCGAAGCTAGTGGTCAGGGTCGAGGGTTTGGGGTAAGGCCTTAATAGTTAGGATGGGGTTTTCGGGAAATTTATAATTTAGCTATAGGAGGGTTTCTCTCAGTCGCCGGTCCGCATGGGCCGCCCCATTGCCTCGGCTTAGCTGTTGCAGGACTGTCATTAGTGTGCCCCAAGCTGCCAAGCATGGATACTGAACCCCAGCCTACACCCGCTTATTGGCTGACTGCCGTAGGACCTGGCATGGTGGCTTCGTGGCTGGTCGTATCGAGAAGACCATGAGGCAAGCTGTATGGTGAGTTCACATGATCACTTAAAAGCATGGTGGTAGTGGATTGATTTGACTGTTGCTGGGGTCGACCTCTTCAAGTGAGCAGTACGGTGATCTGGGCAGGTTCTGGCGCTTTTGCAGCATCGATTTCGACGAATGGCAAAGCCGGCAGGTTTATGGGTTCCCGGGTCATAGCCTCTGCCTGGAAACACGTATCGGTGTATGGAATGCATGCTGCAGTTGTTTTCGATTCGAGTGAGAGGGCCCATCATCAGTTATCATTTAGATGACTGACTTGCAGCTCGCACGCCGATGGGAGGAGCTTTCTGTAGTTCGGAAACGGTTTCGCTTGGGGTGCCCTTGGGTCCATATCCCCCACGCTGACGACGGATCGGAGCATGTGCAGTGCACTCGTGGAATGCAAGCAAACTACAGAATCCTGATTCCCATCGTCACGGCGGCCGAACTTGCAAAAGTCAACTTAAAGACGTTCCAAGACGAGGCCATCATATCTAGCAAGCTTTGGGGAGAAGATTTGGGGTTTTTTTCGGTTATGACTGAAGCTTGAACTTCATACTGTACTGGGTCGATAACGAATACTTCGCTTTCCCAGGTATTGGCCCTTTACGACAAGGTTGGCTATGTGCCCAAGGGTGATAAGGAGGACTATCTGACCGCATGGACTCTGAAGAATCTGTATGGTTATGCTTGGAGACGGTACTCAGATTGCACTCGCCGTGGCCAAACCCCTAGAGAGCCCAGGCCTGAAAGTTTATATCACTTAAAATTCGCATTAGCCTTATATGTGTTTTTGCTAGTAATGCAAATACGATCGGGATAAACGAGTAATTGAGTAGTTGCACAGGGATAGGTCGGATAGGCTGGTATGTAGCAGGTTGACCGCCAAGGTTTTATACGCATATAGGCTTCGTGTAGATTCAGGTTTCTATAGTCATATATATTTGGATAGTTACATAGATATATAGGTCCATATAGATATGTATAGATATACATATATATATATATATGGATAGGTGGGTGTATATATATACATATATATATATATATATATATATATATAACAATATATGTAGTTATATAGACTTTTAGATATATACAGTATATATTAGATATTGAATATAAGTATATATCGCATATAATAGATATATAGATATGCAGATATAGATAGATGCAGATGCACAACAATATATGTACATATGTGCAGGTATATACATATATATATATATATATATATATATACACGTACAGATGATAGATGAATGAATATCGAGGTACAAGGATACTAGTAACTAAGGAAGCTCGATTTACTCAGTTTAACCATCATAAGTTTTATGAGCTTAATTCTTTTTGATTGAGGATCGGGAAGTCCGGGCCATATTCCGTGAGATGGCTCGTGTGAGTGGTCACGACTACCCCGATGAGGCCGAATTCGAGGA